GTGTGTGTGTGTGTGTGTGTGTGTGTGTGTGTGTGTGTGTGTGTGTGTGCTCGCGCGCGCACGCACATCAGCACACCAGCACGCCACTATGTATTTTCCCGTAAAGAAAGCATTTCTGAAAACACAGACACCAGCTGGCCCTCGGCTGCCAGAGCCTTTCTAGACTGTTCAGTTTCTCCCCAGAGGTGCACAGGTTTGTACAGACAAGACCAGTTTGCTGTAGTGAGTGTAAATCCCAGAATTTAAAGCTGTCACGTGGAATAAAAAGGGGGAACATAAGTAATGAGTTTTACAGCATAAGAGGCACCTAAGAATGATTGGGCTTGAGCCAGGAATCAAAAGAATTCTCTGTGGCACCCAGCAGGGAGAAAGGGGAGGGGTGGGAGAGAAAGGCCAGCCTCCCAGTGTATTTATTTGTTGTGCTATGCTGGGTTAGAAACCGGGTCTTCGGCCCTGCTGTTACAGCCTTCAGATGAATAACAGGACAGGGAAAGCCATGCTTTAGTGCAGTCCTGCTTTATTTACGCAGCAGCAGTAACAGAATACGCTCACCTGCTAGGCTCATCGATGAAGCTCATCCCAGCTCTCTGCAGCTGATTTTACTTGTCAACATCTCTTTAACGGCTGAGGGTGATTAGGGCACATGGAACCACGAAAATCAGGGAATGCAAAGGGTGTGGCTCCTGCTGTGATGTTCTTGGCCCGTGGCATCCCCCTGTACTTTTGGTTGGCGGCTCAGTTGTGCTTGGCTCATGCATGTGAATGGAGGCCAGAGAAGCAGCTCTTCCATGCTTATACACCAGCTGGCCACTGACACGGAAAAAGCATGACCCAGCCCCAGGGGGGCTGCCAGGGGCCAGGAGTGGTGTGGGTGAAGCGTGTCATAGAAAAGGCAACGCAGAAGCTGGAAGGGACTTAGCCCTCTACACACCTAGACGGCCAAGCTAGCAATAGTAAAGCCGAGTCACGGATGCAGGGAGCCACGGCTGCTGGACCGCTGCTACTTTTACACACCACAGAACAGCCATCAAGACCTGCCCAAGACGACGATGATGAAAACATGGGGTTTCTCTTCCTTCTCCGCAGCCTCCACCAATTCATTAGAGCCATGGCACCCTCTGAGTTAAAGCTGGGGCAGGCTGGTCGGCGCCATTCCTTTCTGTTCCCTGGCTGTCTTAGACTCAACACGTTAAAATATTTGCAGTAATACCGGCTAATGCTGGCTGTGCGTTCTGGTTCTGAGGGATGTGTTGGCTGGCCATCTGTCTCCCTGAGTGGCACAAAGTCTGTCTTTCTGTCTCTGGCTTATCACGTCTCTCCCACACTGGGGGATGTGCACCACGGAGGGGCTGGGAGACAGGTGCTGACAGGGCTGCAGCTCCGTGAACCGAGAGTTCTCTGCTGGCACACCTGCCTGTGACCTGCTAGGTCAGAAAGCCAAAGGCAGGAGCTGCCCTCTCCACAGGGGCCTCCCTGCAAGTCAGGTTAGGCCAGTCCTGGCCGCAGCAGCCAGCCCTCTTTGCCCCCTAATTGTGACCAGGGCTCCTCCCTCACACGTACACAACCACTCAGATGAAGAGGAAAACGCTGAAGAGGCAGGGGAAAATTAAAGCTAGCATCTTCCCTGACTGGATAAGTCAGGTTTTTATCTTGATCCTGGATAAGGAACTGAATCCTGAAAGGCCCTCTGCGAGGCTTCTCTCTCGGTTCCATTCCTCCCTTCTTTTCTCCTGCCCCACGCCCCATTCAGAAAAAGAAGAGTTGCCTGTGTGCATGTGCAATCAAATGGCATGATTCATTTTTTTTTTTTTTTCCAGAGGAAAACGAACTTGGAAGAGCCTTGGCATTATTTTTCTATTAAGGCCAATTTTACTTAGTTTGCCTGAAAGAGACTGTAATCAGGACTGAAAGCAGCTGCCATAGGACCCTAATAGGCTAACGATTGACGAGTTCACTTCTGAGAACAGTCCCTGGCTGTGTGTGTGTGGCTTGGCCCCCCTCCTCCTCCTGGCAATCATTTATCAGCCCCTGGGAGGGGGCCAGGGCTCGGGGACATTTTCCCGGGCGGCAGGAATGCAAGGTGGAGCCGTGACGGAGATTAGGGCGCTGGAATCTTGCATTTGCTAGCGCAGCAGCTGGGGCGAGCGGTGTCAGCCGGCACTGGGCGCCCGGGAGCAGGGCGCGGCCGTGGGGCGGGCGTGGGAGCCGCGGCGGGGGCGGGCCTTCGGGGGCCGCCCGGGACCTCGCGTGCGGTGCGGGGGGCGGCTCCTCGCAGCGTCCGCAGTGGCGGTCGGTCTGCGCGCACGCTGAGACTTCGGTCCTGTTGCTGTCCGCGC